GTTGACTGTCTGAGTCCGGATTTCAGCTCAGGTCATGATCTCAGGGTCTTGGGATCCAGACCCATGTGGGGCTCCCTGCTCAGCGGGGAGTCTGCTTGAGATTCTCTCCTTCTCCCTTTGCCCCTCCCTCCGCTCTCTTGCTTACTCTTTCTCTTAGAATAAAGAAAGAAAGAAAGAAAGAAAGAAAGAAAGAAAGAGGCCTATATACCTGTGTCCCTGTCCCAAGCTGGTCCCCAGGTCTCTGACCCCCAGGCCCCTGGGGCCCAAAGTAGAGATACAACCCTCCAGATGGGAGTCTAACCACTGAGCCACCACTAGCCCCAGATGAGCCATGAGAGCAAGGGAAAAGGGATCAGTAATGGCCAAACCCTCACCTCCCAAGCCCAGGACATGCAGGCACTGCTGCCTCCACTCCACACTCCAACTCTGGGAGGAGGGCTCACCACTCGCACTGTGTGAATGAGGAAGCTAAGGTAGAGAGACACTTTGGACAAATGGGCTGCCTTTGGCCTCAGTACAACGAACGAGTACATCATAAAGCAAGGCCACCCACTATGGCCTGGAGAACCAAGGTGGGTGACACAGCAAAGGCCTGGGGGAATGATATAGGGCCCCACTTGGACGTTCACAGGAGGTGTTTCTGGGTAAGTGATATTTGAATTCCGCCCTGAATGACAAATGAGAAGGTGGCAGCTATGTGAGAGCTAGGGAAGAGAATTCCTAACTGAGAGAACAAGTGCAAAGGTCCTGAGGTGGAAAGAACAGGATGGGTTTGAAGCAGAGGGAGACAGTGCAGTAGCTGCTATTTAGGGAGAGAGGAAGAATATGGTGCAGACAAGGAGGTGCCGTCCGCAGGGCTGGCCACCCAGGAAGAAGGGATCTTCTCTTGCTGGGCTGCTGTGTGGAGCCTGGGTTGGGGGTTAGGGCAGGGGTTTGGGGTGGGATGCCAAGGTCAAGGCAGAGGGACCCCTGAGGTGGCCGTTACTGCCTTCTGGGTGAGTGATGGCCGAGGCTGGACTTTAGACGGAGACTAAAGTGGAGAAGTGGGAGATCTGGCATGTTTGGAGGAGAGCCTGGTACTCTTTGTGCTCATGTGCTGGCCAAATCTGCACCTTCAGGAAGTTGCTTGGCAGACCCTCCTCCACAGCCCACAGCCCATGTGGGGGCCAGCTCCACCCAGGATGCCCCAGCAGGGCCTTCTGTGACAGCACCCCGCCAACCGGGGCAGTCTGGTCATCTGTCTCCTCCACTCAGCAGGCACTCCCAGGGGCAGAGGCTGGTTGTGATCTCTCAGGTGCCCGGCCTGATGCCAGACCCCTTCTAACAAGGTTCACTCCAACCAGGGCTGATGATCAACCCTACTAACTATCCCCACCAACACCAGGCTGCTCCCTCTCTCTGAGGTTATGGAGGGCTGGGTGGGTGCATCTCTGCAGAGTTTCCCTGGACATGGTGGCTTGTGTCAGCAGCACTTCCTTCCTCTGCTCAAGTCTTGCTCATACCTGCACCTCCTGCTCCCCACAGGGCTTGTTAGCACAGCCCTCATCTGACCTCAGACCCTGGAGCCTGGGAATGTGAGCTCAATGGCCTGGAACCCAACCATGGATCCACTGCCTCCTGGGTTCCCCCACATTGGAACTGATGCCCAAGCCCATGGCTTGGGGGGCATGCACACACACCGGGACAGCTGCAGAGGTCAGGCCTGGGGAACGGCCCAAGTCTCTGCAAGAGCCAAAAGGCTCAGCCTTTTCCTTTTTTTCAACTGAGATGTAATTTGCATATCATAAAATTTACTGTTAAAAGTATACAGTTCAGCGGTTTTAGTGTATTCACAAGGTTGTGTACGCATCACCACCGTCTAATTCCAGAACACATTCATCACCCCAAAAAGGAACCCCTTACCCATTAGCAATCACCCCCCATTCCCGTCTTCGCTCAGCCCCTGGCAACCACTCATCTGTGCCCCATCTCTACGGATTTGCTTATTCTGGACATTTCATCTAAACGGCAAAAGGCTCAGCAGCCTTCCAGGCCATAGACTCCAAGTGGAGCCCACAGAAAGGACCACAAGAGCAACTGGCCCTCATCTTTTTTCTGAGAAGATCTGCGCCAGTCCGGCAGTCTCTCCCATCCAAGAGGCTGAGTTTCCTAGGGAGCGATGCCTTATTCATCCCAGGATTTCCTCAAAGTCAGGCCCAGGACAAGCTTACTGGCCCTTCTACTCCCACCCCCAATCTCAGAGCAAAACAGACCAAACAAAACAAGGAGCGACTACTGGTTGAGGCCAGGAACAGTCTGCAAGCCCACATTAGATGCTTCACAAACATCAGCCATGAAATAAACTTTGACCTAATTCTCCCTTCCCAAAACTGAGTTCACTAGAAGCCACGTACCAGAAAAGAAGCACCCTTTTAGGAAAAAAAATATTCCTCTACCCACTGGCAGCTGGCTGTGAGGTGGTCATTTGGTCCGCCACCCCGGCAAGGTTTGAGTCTGCCCACTTAGACACATCCAACATGGTAACCACGTGGGCATGCCACCCACAAGCGGGTAGAGGAGGACCCTGGCATGGGCTTTCCCCACTCTGTGGGGAGGTTAAGCGACTGGTCTTAAGAACTCTTCAGCACAACTGTCAACTGCCTGGATTCTCTCAGAGAGGGCAAAGGGGGCCGGGGGCCTAGTTTCCCACGGGCAGGGGCTGGACAGCATGACATCCGTCCCCCTAAAGAGGGGTTTAGGAAAGCAGAGCTTGGGAAGAAACCTCCAAAGGCAGTTTTTCCTCAAGGCCCTACAATGGACTCCAGACCCACTATAAGAGTATCTTTTCTGTTACATGTGCTCCCAAAACATCGAGTCAATCAAATTTGCGTTTTAAAACCAACAGTATTTTAAACGTCCACACAACTTTTCAGGTTAATACAAGCAACTACCCTATATTGCTATTCACTTTTAACTATCAGGTTTGCTTAAAAGAGGCTCCCCTATATTCATGGACATCTTCACCACCCGGTGTCACCCCAACTTAGGCCCTTGACTCTATCCTTGTCCCCAGCCCCACAGAACAGCTGGTTTCAGCACATGGAACATCAGCTCCAGAGCTTGTCCTCCTCCTCCAGTGTTTCCCAGAAGCCAGGCAGTGGGAGGCTGAAGTTGGGTGGGGAGTAGGGCAAGGGAATTTACCTCTATAGGAGACTGTAATATACAGAAAAGCCTCTGCTATAGCTTAAGAAAGATGCCCAAGTTGAAAAAACAAATGACACAGGCCAGGGTAATAGTGATGTGTCTGCCCTCACCCCCCACCCCAATCCTTACTGTTGGAGTTGGCCATCCGTCTGCCTACACTATGACCAGTGTGAGCTTAAGGACACCAAATGGTCCTGTTACCACACCCTTAAAGAGAACGAGGCCCTCCCACTCTGGGCACTCTCCCACTGGCCCAGGCCATGAAAGGAACACAGAAATCCTGCCTCTTCCCTGGACCGCTGTGGAATCACAAGAGCCTGGAGGGGAGCTGCCCCTCCTAGGACTGTTCTAGGGCCTAGGCCTTTCGTCTACCCAAGGCTGTCACGGTGACCCCAGCACCCTTTGCAAGCAACTCACCTGCCAGCAATTTGGCAGCACTGTGTTAGATCAAGTTGGCCCAAAATCTAAGGGTTTAGACATTCTAAGAAACCCAGGAAGCATCTATGCTGAGCATCCGCTTGAGTAGGGTGGAGGTCTCTGGGGAGAGGCTCTGCATCAGGTGCCAAGGTCAGAGGGCAACCCCTCGCCCCATAGACTTGCAAGAAGTGAGCACCTCAGAGACAGAGCCACCCTAGAGCAGAAGGACCACTCAACCAACATGCTGCTTCTGCCTATGAGGAAACGTGGAGTCCAAGGGGCAAGGAGCTCATTTCTATAGTCAACAGTTAACCAAGTTTTCCATTCTGGGGTTTCTAGAGAGAAGCCTCAATCTGTCTTCTCACCTCCCAGCAGCTTCAGCATGAAAACAGCTTTCAGAAGCAAGCCTCCTCCCTCCCGATCTGAAACAGCCTGGCAGTCATCCTCTTCCCTCGGGGTGACCCCCCCAACGAGCCATGGGAGCCTCCCGCACTGGGCCTCCATTTGCAGCCACCAGAGTTCCCCAAACACTTGGTGTACTCCAGGCGCTCTAATCTCACCCTCGACTTAGGCCAGCTGAGGACAGTCTGAACCACTAATCTCAACTTTTTTTAAGTGTAGCTGTACTGCTCCAATGCACTCAGAATAGGCTCTTCACCCCTTAGATCATCTGTACCAATGAGGCAGAAAAGCATGGTTTGTAACAATAACAGAATCTTTTTGAAGCGCTTAAACATATTCAATTAGTGAAATCATTAAACGGGCCCCTTACCCACACCCCTGATTTGACATACCTCTGCTAACCCTTCCCAGAGCTTATGAAAGCAAACCAGTCTCATAAAAGCCTGCTTTCTACACCTAGCGTTCAGGGTCTTTCTCTGGCAAGGGGGTATTCATGACAATAAGGGGAGAGTGAGTACAGCCTGTTTCTCCTGCACAAGGAGGAGCTCTGAAACACACTAGCCTTTCTGCCCATTTCTCCAAACACCCAGGCTTGGGGCTTAGGCTGGGGGAGTAGGCAAACTGCAAACCCCACAGCTAAGATCACACTACCAACACCACCCTCGGGAAGGGAGGGGATGGTGTTAGCTCAAAAATTCTGGGAAAAGACTCTACCCTGGCATTACCTAGCACCAGGACAAGGGCCTGCACCTGCTTGTGAGCAAGTTAGGAAGACAAAAGCCAACAGCTGGAGAGAAGGGGGTGCCTAGGGTGGTCTCTCTCCTTCCTTCAGCAAAGTTCTCCTGGTTCAGATCCCACTGGGTGTGTAAGGGAAAAGGCACCAGAACAGTTCTCATCTATCTTGTTCTAGTCGGAAGTCACTTGTTGCCCATGTCCCACATACCTGGTCAAGGAGGTAACAGGCACAAGGCCTGCCCCAGGCTGCCGGGGCCACTTACCAGCGGGGGCTGCGGCTGGGGGTGCTGCCCTGCTCCCGAGGGGGGAGGGTAGTGCATGAGCAGATTGAAGGCGGAGTAGACGGTGTCTTTGTACATGCCGCTGGCGCACTCCGGGGCCTTCAGGCCTGGAAAAACCACAGCTGGGTCAGACGTGCCCAACAGGGTGGCTCGGGCTGGAGGCAGTCTGCTCTCCAGAGAAAGAACTGCCGAGGGGTCCCGCTCACGTGTGTGACCGGAGAAGGCACGGGTCCCGGGTGCCTCAGTTCGGACGAAGGACCACGAGTTCAGGCCTCCCCTTGGCGGCCCCTACTTGACCCCCAGCCCGCCCTCTGGCCAAGGAACCTGAGCCAACGCTTTCTCCTGAAGGCTGGGGATTAGGCAGTCACCTGGGCAGGAGGGGAGGCGGAGATGGCGGGGGTCTGTTTACTCCTATAAAGGTCAGGGCACCGGAAGTGACTCGAGCCCGGCGGCGCCCGGGAAACCCGCCCCCCACTCCCCCCCGCCCTGGCTTTGCCGCCTCCTAGATCTGCCGTGGGGGGTGGCCCTCCGGACCCCCAACCCCGTCCTCCGAGGCCCCCCTGTCCCACCCGGACCCTTAGCGGGTGGAGGGGAGGCGGGCCGAAACTCACCGTCCTCCAGAGACTCTGGAAGTTTGTCGGGGAAAAGTCTCTGCGAAGCGTGCTCCCGTCCGAGCGCCTGCGGGGAGATCCAGAGGGGCCGTGAGGGGCGCCGAGCTCGCGGCCCGGGGCAGGAGGGGTCTGAGAGATGGGTACCCCGGGGGCCCGGGAGGGCGGGGCGGGACCGGCCGGGCGCGGGGGACGGCGGGCGCGGGAGAGGCGCGGGGCACGGGCCGGCGCTCACCTCAGCCCCGACCTCCGCCTCGCCGCGGGCCCCGGTGCCGGCCCCCGGGACCCCCGCGCCGCCCGCCGCGCCCTCGGACTCATTGACCAGCGACGACTTGAGCTCGGCCAGGTCGCGCTCGGGGCCCGCGGCGCTGTCGCGACTCTTGTCGTCCTGCTCCTCGCCCTCGTCCTGGAAGGCCAGCAGTTCGTCAGGCGCGCCCAGGTCGTCGCCCCCGCCCGCGCCGCCCCCGCCGGAGTCCAGCTGCGGCATGGTGCGCTCCGCCCGCCCGGGCGCGGGGCGCGGGAGTTCGGGGCGCGGAACCGGCCCGGCAGGCGGCGAGCCCGGAGTCCGGACCTCCGAACCCGAAGCACGGCGGGCGGAGCGCGGGCTGACTCCGCCTGGGCGGGCTGCGGGCGCCGGGCGCGGGCGCCAGGCTGAGCGGCTCCTAGAGCTGGCGGGTCCGAACATCAAAGGCGCCGCGGGCCGAGTGCGGTGGGGGCGGGGCGGGAACGCCGGGGGCGGGCCCTATGGGTGGGCGGGGGGCAAAGTCGCCCCGCCCAGCCCCTCCTCTCCTCGGAGAGGCTGGGACGCGAGCAGCGCGCACGATCTTAAAGGGCTCGCTCTCTCCGGCGTCACTCTGGCGTCCGGACCTTTCTTCCGAAATGTGGGAATTCTAAAGGAGACTCCTCACCCAGCTTCCTCACCTACAATAAGGGATTCCCGCTCTGCACCCAGGTTTCTCCCCCAAGTGCCGAGGGACCGGATCCCCTAGGCCCTGAGGCGGGAGCTGGAACGCAAGCCAAGGTGTAATTGCGTCGGCGAGCCGGCCAGTGCGTCCAGGGCTTGACACTGGAGGCTTCCTGGAGGTCGGAGGCTGTTGGAGACTGCGCGAACCCCGGCTTTCAGGGTTAGGATTCCTCAAATTCCCGTTCTCTGTCCTGTTCTCCAACCCTAGGCCGGTCTGGGACCTCCTTCCAGGCAGCCCAGATACAACCCTAACACGAGCATATTCCCCTCGCACATTTATGGAATGCCTGTTGCATGCGGGGCTCGTGCACCACATATCTGTGACGTGCCTCTCAGCCCTGTGGCATCTCTGAGGCGCGAACAGAGCCAAGAGAACAAGGAGGAAGGATCCCCCAAACCTCGTGAGGATCCTTCAGCCACCCACCCCCTCCTTCCCTCCCTCCCTCCCAACTCAGTTCTAAGCCTAGAACCTGGGGCCCAGGGATGGGAGGCTTTGGGCGGACACGTGGGCCGCGGGATTCCGACGAGGTGTGGGTCATCAGAAGCAACTCAACACGGGAAGTCGCATTCCCATGGAGCCAATGGACTCGGAGCCTGACGCCCGCGGACTCTCGCAAGATCCAGGTTACGGGCTCCATTAGGGTCAGAGGAGAGCGGGAACATGCGCCAGCTTCCATCATGTCTACAATGCACCCGGGGCCATGTCCACGCAGGCCTCCACAGCACGCTTGGCCTCGGCTCCACCACTGTATCTGCGAAAGACACACGTCCTTTAGAGTCGCGGTGCAGTGAACCGCAGCCCCCCAGCTGGTTTCTGAGTTGGATTCAGTGTAGACTTCCCCATCTCTCCCTAGAGCACAGGGACAGTGGGTATTTGAGAAGGAGGGTGTCTTGGACGCCTCTCCTGCTCGGAGGCCCACGGGACCCCTGGCAGCGGCGCAAAGCCGGGCCGGAAGAGGGCCGCGCCGCCCCTCCCGGTCCGGGCCCAGCCTGGCTGGCTGCGGATCAAAGAACCAGGGCCGTCCTTCTCGGAGTTCAGATCCTATCTGCGGCCGCTCAGCGGGGCGGCTGGGCCTCCTACTGCATGGCTGGAGTGCCCACTTTTCCTCCCTTCCGGGGGCTGGGGGTGGGGATTCCTAGTGCTCAGTTCGGCGATGGAGATGTGGAGAAAAGCCTGCCCATTAGGTTCCCCTAGTTTCCTTTTCTGGGTGTGAGCTTGCTGCTGAGTCTCACTTTATCCCTACTGGGGATCCCCAGCAAATCTTAGCCTGGTAGAGAGGGGAAAAGGTATAGGAGTAGGGGCTCATGCCCTCCCCCTCCTCAGCCCTTGAGGTTATAAGATCTAACTGGGCACGAGCCTCCTCTGGGAAAGCTGAATGGGAAGATGGATCTGCCTAACTCAAAGGCTTTGGGGGTCCTCTTGCCTTTCAGGGTGACCCCAGCTTAGCAGGAGCCTCCTCCAGGACAAAGGTCCTCAGAACCATGAGTGGACACAGGACAGTGGGAGCCCATGGAGAAAGGAGAGAAGTCAGGGCAACAGTGAGGTGGTTTGTTCTTCTCAATAAGGCTGAATTTTTTCAGCTTAAAGTATTAGCGTTTAATCAGAGATTATGGATTTTCTGCTTTATTGGTGTAAAAACAGCCTTTCTTTACTAAAATAAAGGTGGAGATTGATTTTTTAAAACGTCCTTATTTGGCAGAAGAAAACCTTGTCTCTCTCCCACCCCCAAATCTTTTTGGACATTTTATAGGGTTGTGGAATCCCAAAGTCTGGGAACCACTATGCTACAGGATCATGTCCTACTGGGTGGAACCAGGGGAGGAGGCAGGTGAGCAGGGAGAATAAGGGTGTGAGGAAGGAGAGGTAAGGGAGGGAGAAGCAAGCTGAGTATCAGATATCTATAGCCACACTGAAATCAGCTTGAATGTCTGCTAGGGAGAATCACCTATGTACCTAACCCAGGAATCCGGCTGTGGAGAGAGGGGAGGCAGTGGTAGAGTTCCTGTTCTCCAGAAGGCATTGTCTGCTTGAGAAGCTGAGAAATTATTAGAGCCGAATTTGTTGGTTATTAGTCTATGCAGACCATGGGCAGAAGGAGCTCAGAAGGAGATATGGTGGAATCAATGTGCCTGGAGTGACAGATGGGCTTCCTGGAGGAGGCAGACTTCATCTGGACGTGGAAGGCTCTAAAGTTTGGCGAGATACAGAGGAAAAAGAGCTCAGGCTTGTCTACCAAAGGCAGGCGTGGCCCAACAGCAGCGTTCCATCATGACCTCTTAAATTCCAGAAGGGGGTTCTTACCTGCTTTGTGGTCTCTGCAGACAAATAGTGATGAATGAGCTGTGACTAATAGAGTCCTGACTTTCCGAGTGGTTCATGTTGCTTGGAGGGACCACCAGGAGGATTAGGGAATCTCTCTGGTTGGTTTGTATAGGGTAGCTCAAGCTCTTTGCTACATAGGAGGGCCCAGAGCATCTCCCTGTAGTCAGACCTCTGTCTGTGCCATCTCTGGGCCCACCCTAGAGAGGTAGACTGGTGCTCTGGGCACCAACTCAGATCCCATACAGTCACAATGGCCCTGGGTTTCCCCCACAGGGTGGTGAGTGGGATCTACTGTGACTGCCGCTCCGGATGTGACCCGGCAGTTTCAGGATGAGGGCCAGAATATTCTGCAGGGAGGCCCAGGAGTCTTCTGCACCCATGAAGTCCAGGTCAGAGCTAAAGATTTTTTTTTTTTTTTGTAAGATTTGTTTATTTGAGAGAGAGTGGGTGCACACACACGTGGGCACAGGCATGTGCAAGTGGGAGGAAGGACAGAGGGAGAGAATCTTCGGGCAGCCTCCCCGCCTAGTGTGGAGCCAGTCAGGACCTCCTGATTCCTGGGGCTCAACCTCATGACCCATGAGATCACGACCTGAGCTAAAACCAAGAGCTGGACCCTTAACTGACTGAGTCACCCAGGTGCCCCCAGGGCTGACGAGTTAATGAGGCTTCATCTTCCTGCATGTGAGCCACCAGCAGACATGTGGTGACCTTCAAGGTTGGACATGGGACAAAGTCTGAGCTCACAGGGGTGGAGGGTCTGACCAAGGATTGAGCTCCGGCCTTGGATTTAGGCAGACCCATCTGAGTTTGCATCGCTGCCCTACCATTTGCTAGCTGGGGGATTTCAGACAAACCACCCACCCTCTCTGAGCCTCAGCTTTCTCCTGGGTAAGGTGAGTATCACTCCCAAAGACTGCCTGGCGCTGCAGGAGTGATCTGGAGAGGATTTCCATATCCTAGGAAAGAGTTTAGCTCAAGGCCTGGCACATTCCAAGTTCTCTAATAAATGGGTACTCTTGAGCTCGTTTTCGGAAGTTGTTAGGCTAATTGGCTCTTCATGTAACGTCATGTAAGTCATCTAAGTGTTCTCATGGCCTGGGCCCACCTCATCACAGCTAAGGCTGAAAATGTACTTTTCCTTTCCTTTTCTTTCAAGTTCCTTCACATGAAAGGCCTGTGTGAACTCTCTGAACTTTTCGAATGGGGAGACCCTTGAAATGTGGCATTTCCAGAAAACAACTCAAAGGAGCCCCAGATGGGTTTGGTCAATTACAACGGGGAGAGGTTGGGAGCGGCATCTCTTCCTGCCCGCCAGCCTACCTGGCATCCTGTCGGGACATGCCGAGCGCAGCCTGGAGGCCTGGCTGCCAGCTCTGGGCAGGAACACTTCCCGCGCGAGCCTTCTCTCTCAGGGCAGAGCCTGGTCACACATCCTAGAGGCAGACTGTGGTTTGTTACTAGAAACACAGAGTGCTCTCTGGAAACTGTGTTGTTTC